CATTGCCAAGAACAAAGTTATTTTGGAGTATGTTGCTTTCATGTTTCTTGTTATTTTTCATTACTTTCATTGATAGCTCTGTTGCTGATCAGGATGATACAGAGGAGGAGGAGGACATACCAGTACTTGTAATGCAAGAAGGTGAAATAATCCCCAGCAGTGATGATGAATCAGATGTCAGCGATGATGATATCAGCGACAATGAATTATAATTAAACACCGAATGCAACTTACAACTTCTGTTACATTCAATTCGGCTTTAGCAGCAGTCATTGGAGTATGACAAATATGGAATGCTTCAATGGCTTCTACTAAGTTCGTTTTGTGTGTTACAGATTTTGCAAATTGTATTCTGTGTTTTTTATTATTTATTTTCACTTTTTATGGTGAGTTACATGAGCATCTCTCTCATAATAAATCTATATTCTTTTATTCATTTAGTCTCATATTATCACGATTTACAATACTTCAGGTACTGTACATGTACAAATTTAAATTAAAATTATTATTGTCAGCTGTTATATGTACATGTAATAATTATATTGTTTCCATATCATTAGGACTCTCATCATATCCACCTGCATCAAAAGTACTCATATAGTCTCTGTAATGGCCATCATGGCTTGGATATCTCCTTCTGATTTCCTAATTTTACAAATGCAAGTGTATAATTTATAACGATTTACTACTCACATCAATCACACATTTAGGCATTATGTCCTGTCTGTCATCCCTTGCTGTCCTACCCTCTTTCAACTGAAGGTAACCCTCTCCCGCCACACTCCTAGCTTATCAAAAGGCTCCATAATTTCTTATATAGCTGGTATCTCTTTTGATCATTGGCGGGATGAGGATCACATGATCCACGGAGGAAACTAGGAGGAGACTGAATGACACAAGGGGAGCAATAGCATGACCCGCAGTAGTCCAACCCTCGAAGAATAGGCGGGTTCTCTCCCTCATATCCTCTGATCTCATTTCTAGTGCCTATAATTTATTTGTATAGGCCACTGTTAATCAGTGTGATTTAATGAGCTTACAGTAGCTAGTAACCACTCTCTCCTCCATTTCAGAATCTTCACTTCCTTCATTCATCTTCTTCCACACTAACTGCACTTTACTTTCACCCTGCTCTCTTCTGACCATCTCCCTCACTTCCGTTATAAATGACTGTCTTGGCACAGTGTCATATTCTATTGTTACCTACTTTTTTATTTTGGCTAAATGTTAGTAAAACTGTCTGTACCCTTAAGATCAGGTCTTATGGATGCCTGTGGTGCCTGCATGCTACCTTCCCTCACTGCCCTGTTTTAATCTCATCCAAAAGCCACCCGCCATTTTTAATTGACTGGGCAGCTCACCCCCCTTTTATACTCGTGCTCATGCTCGGTGCTGTAGCAATCATCACGTAAGGTGGAGCAGTGGTTATATTCTGCACATGCTCATTTAAATGAATAGCTTTAGAAAAATATATAAGAAAGGCTTTAATGAGCTCAGGTTCTCCATTAGTTCCAATGCATTTTAGATCTGTCAAAAGTGGATTGAGACGAATAAGTGTGAAAGCAAAGTAATGAAAAGGTCAGAAAGTCTTTCTCTTTCATGTACCAAAATAGGGCCGAGCATGACTGGATCACTATGATGACTTGTTGTAACCTAACCATGAGGTTATTGAAAGTGACTAGTGCGATGTAGAAGGATCCTAAAATGTAAGTTGGATCCACTGAAAGAACACAAAGTAGAACCAGTACAGAAATTTTTGAGATTCTTAAGCAGCTGGTCTGTGGCCAATACGGTTCAGGACTGAACAAATAAGGAAATTGCTTCCTTTCTCCTGCTTGCAGGTAGTCATGATACAGGCTAAAGTATCATTTCCAGAAATACCAAGAGTCATTATGCCACTTTTTTACTTTATTTCTCAGCAGTCTTGAAATTATGAACTTGCCTTGCATCATGTTGTAAATCACAACTTGATTGTGCCTGCATTACTCCACTTAAATCCTAAATTGTTTTCAACAGCTTCCAAGGCTTTTACTGAGTGCTCATTGCAATCAAAACTGTACTGGATAATAAAACTCTCCCATAGTAGAACATAACCATAATTGAATTAAATAACACTGACAGACAATATCAGCACTCGATACGTCAGATTTAGTATCATGATAATCACTATCAGAGTCTTGTAATGACAAACCAGATGATTTTTATTCAGAATCCCTATTCAGAATCCCTATATACCAGCAAACATTTAATTCTGTAATACCAGCAAACATTTAATTCTGTAATACTAGCAAACATTTAATTTTGTAATATCACCATGACTTACTAACCTTTCCATATTGAAATCTTCCGTAGACTCTGCCTTCAACATAACTACTGAGACACTACTACAAAAAGGCAAGCCTTCGGCAGGGTTGGGGTGAAGTTCTTTGAAAAGTACTTAAGTAAAATCCAAGTACATTTACAAAATACTTAAGTATAAGTACTAGTACATATACCTTTTTGATAATAGTACTTAAGTATAAGTTCAGGTATTTTGATATGTACTTAAGTACAAGTATAAGTACTTTTTAAAGTAGATTTAATTATACAATTATAATCATTTTTATTAATTACTATTACACCAAATAAACATTAATTCTTGAAAATGTGAATCCTTTAAGTGACATCGTTCAGGTCTATGTAGTTTACCAGCGATGCTAAAAAGATGCTCCACTGGAGCTGATGAAGATAGCACACCCAAGATCTCTTTAGCTAACATTGAGAGACGAGGAAATTTGTCCATTTCTCTTTTCCAGAGCTCAGTTGGATTTACATTTATCAAGACAACAATTTACTTCATCTTTGAAAGAAATAGACTGAGACTGCAATTGCACGGAAGGCTCTGGTATAAAACTATATGTGACCATAATTGACAAAAGGTACCTTATGGCGGATAGGAAAATTGGTCTTTATAGCCTTAAAAATCCTACTTCCTGAGCTCCATTCATCATAAAATTGCTCCAGAGGATGCAAAATGTTACTATGTAACTCTTAGAAACAATTATTGACTAACAAAGCACTCACTGGCTGATATTTTTCATCATAATGATGAATTTTAAAATCCGCCATAAGGTACCTTTTTTAAATTATGGTCACATATAGTGATTTGGCTCTCTTTGGCTGTGGGCTACATTCAGCTTCTTAAATAGAATTTAATGGCATTAGTTGTAGACATTCGTTATTTTCTAGTGATGAAATTATGATCTCAGTAAATTCCTTCTTCTCATCTTCATTCAGAGACCATCGTAACTTAAATCTGGGATCTAAAATTGCTGCTTTAATGTAGACTTTATTTTCTTCATAACATGCTTGAGTACTTGTACAAAGGCTGAATGATACTTGGATATCGTGCCATGTATATGGTGGTTAAGTCCTCTTACACAAGGTATGACATAACATGCCGACGGTACACAACTGATCTGAACAAAAGTCTGTAGCCTCTTCAAATGGCTGCAATATTTCTACTATGTCACGCAGTACATTTCTCTCATGTGCTGTTAATTTTGGAGCATCTAATTCAGCTACCTTCCTCTCTGGTACAGATAAGACCGACCTAATCATTTAAGCTGAGAGTTATATCTTGTGGCATTACTAGCTTGCAATTTTCTTTCATCTTTTAGCAGCAATTGTAGACTTCCTTACATTGGACACAAGGTTGGAGCACTTTTTAATAGTGGTCCCAATTGAGCCTGCCTTTGTGAGCCTATCTTTTACAACTAATGGCAACGTATGAGCGGAACATGAATGGTGCTCAATAATCAGATCAACAGAAACAGATTCATTCTTATCACTTTCTTCATCATCACTGTCAGTTGGTATATCTTCATTGTAAACTGGTAATATGAGACTACGGAAGGCTTTCTTTTATGTTAGCTCCACTGTCAGTGACTATGTGTCATACTTTGCTGCTTATACAAAAATCAGCAACAATCTCATGGTACCACGATAAAATGTTATTGCTGGTGTGCCTTCCAATGACACAACGGCAGCCAAGCATGACTGATTCCAGTGTCCATTGATCTGAGATGTAATGACCCGTAATTCCGATGTATGTTTTCATCTGGCGATTTGACCAAAGGTCTATAGTAAGATGGATGACTTCAGCCTTTGAAAGCTTCTCCAAAACCTTTCTCTTAACAGCAGAGTTCTTACTCCTAAGTAAAACGCCCGACAATTGTTTTTGACTTGGAATTTCATACTTGGGATCCAGTGTTTCTATAAACATCTGAAACTTAGTAATATCAACAATGGCAAGTAGAATAAGATCATGAGCAATGAAGTCAATGAGAGCACTATTAGCTTGTATCTGCTTTAGGTTCTTCGAATCATACTTCTTGTAATCCTTAATGATATGACTTAGTGTTAGCTGTGACGCCTGCGATTCTTGTTTTAATTGTACTTGATGCACACGGTTCTACATAATAAGATTATTATGAAACATTGACATGCACATACTATGCATCCTACCAGATGTCTTCACCAGTTTGTAGTGACTTTCACAGATGCTGTGATACTTTTGGAGCAGTATTTACACTGAGCTTTAAAGTCTCCAGAAGGTAAGGATTCAGGGACAATATAGTGCTGACGTACTGCTGGATGTTTAGAAGTAGTACATGTACTTTGACTTAGTGCCTCAGCCATTGACAGCTACAATTACAGACAAGTGAAGAGTCTGCTTCTGACTTCTCAGTTCAAGCCAAAGTAGTAGTGTGCCGGATCCAGTGATGCACGTGAATTTGCGGCTCCTTTCTGTTATACACTGATAATACTGATAGTACATGTAATCACACCAGCTGTGTTGATAATACACACTTTATATAAGTACTTAAACAGATTTAGAAGTACCTAAAAAGACTTGTAAGTTCATCAAGTACATCAAGTACATAGACTAATACTTCAGTATATGTACATTGGTAAAATTTAAAAAAGACTTAAGTATAAGTACAAGTACCAAAAAAACATATTTAAGGAGAAGTACCAACGTACTTCGCCCCAACCCTGGTCTCCGGGTGGGACTTCAAAAGACCAAGGATTACCTCCCGTTAATAACCATTGGTACAGAGACTTTCTAAGCACAAGATCTATTTCAGAATCTCCCTCTGAATACATAGTTAGATCTATAACATCCTCGATAGGATGACCGTGGCTTTGCAACCTACAGTTCTGTATGACATATGTTCCAGAGTATTTCCATATACTCGAAACTCATTTCTTCATTTCAGTACTTCTCTGTTTCATGTTTTTTTATTTCCCATTCATACTTTTATAACTATCCTGTAATCAGATAATCTGCTCTATTCTTTTGTCTCTTCCTATGCAGTTTGCTCACTTTTAAGGAGTGCGCAGAGTAAGAGGTCACCAGTTCTTTTTAGAGCAACTAATAGGGAAATAAAATTAATTACAAAGAATGTTTATAAATTCTGACTCAGAGTGACTTCAATATTTCAGCTGCTCCCTTACTTGAAGATAGTTTTGATGAGCTGCACTTGAATTCTAAGCAGCACTTATTTGGATTCATCAAGATAAGTGTTTACAATGATAAGCAGTAGAGTTGCCACTGATGATGGTCTTAATTGCATTTTGTATCCACGCCTTATGTTGTGGTACTTGTTTGTTGTTTTCATGCTAAATTTAATTGTTGTGGTGCTAGTTGTAAAAAGGGAAGTAGGAAAAAAAGTAACTGAACTGAAATAAGAAACTTTCAAAAAATATAAAATTAAATCAAAATTTGAAGAAGTTATTGTTAAAACTTGATTTTATGCTCGAGCTTATTATATTAGACAAAGTAGCAAGGTCAAAAGTCAGGCAACAATTGCATATAAAATTACATGAAGGCATAAGCTTCCATATTCTTGGCAGTATCATGCCATCCATCCAGGTTATGTTTTGCAATAGTACAAGAATTGGAATAACAAAAACAAGGTTGCAAAAATTATTAAGTCAACTTACTATTCCAAAACTTGTATAACGCTAATACAGTCCTTAAAAGATAAAATCTTTAAATCATTCAAGAGCAACATCTTCTAATGATCAGCAGCAACAATCTAGAGACTTATCAAAAGAATCTGAGCCCCCCAAAAAAGAAAGTCAAAGGAACACTATCAACAAAATCCGGACCTAAAAAGCAAAACTCTTTGAAACGGTATTATGAAAATAGAGACGCAATATGACGTGTAACAAAAGATATATTTTTAAAGTTTACATTATCAGATAATGATATGGATAACTTCAAAATGGCAAATAAAGATTCTTGTGATCGTAATTATGGTCAATTATTGTATAGATCGCATTTTAATTACTCATTACATGCACAAAATAGTGAAGCAAGGGAACATTATTTTCCGAAAATTATTAAAGCATTATTATTACAGCCCAAAATAGTTCATGATTTATTGCCATCAAGTATGAAAAGTGTAGATTTTGAGAACATATCACATGACAGTAAATTTAATGCTCCATCAAGCAATCAGTTTTGAAAAACAGATCCCACAAAGTTGGAGTATTGATACATGCAGCTAATCACATATAAAAATTCAAATTGATTAGCTTTAGTGATTTTGGTAAGCAATGTCACACAAAGAATAGTGAGCCTTATTTTTATGAATCAGTATACTCATATTCAAATGACGATCCTGATAGCCAATTAGATAGTCAAAGTGCAATCCCTGTTGATACAAAAGGCATCTGTTATGTAGCAGGGATTGTTGATGTGGCATGTATTGATAGAGTAGAAGAATGTAATGATGATTCTGAAGATGAAAATTTTGATAATAATAAAGTGTATACCAATAAAAGAAAGCCTACCCTTAAATGGCACTCTACAGACAGGTGCAAGCCTTTAACAGAAAGTGATGTTAGTTCTATTATTGACGTTAGACCATATTTTGATGAACCCACTAGAATTGAGGAAGCATTTAGATTATGACAAGATCTCTGCATGTCAATGAAATAGATCAAGTGCATGAACATGATTGCTGTGCTAATGCAAATGCAATGATGATTGATAAAAAAGATGAAAATAAGGCCACTCAAATTAAATTTATGGTTTCCCCTTACACATGCGGTACCGATGCGGGCAGTTGCCATTTCAATAAGACAAAATATTTATTATAATCATAACATTATTCATTATTATTAACCACATAACCATTGCAATCATAGCAAAACCAATCATAGCAAATACTTTTTTTGGGGCGAGCCTGAGCAAGCCCCACTCAGGCGAGAAGTCTTCTGTATGTATGTATGCATGCATGTGTGTCTCCAGTCACGCCTATTCTGCTCATGCCCATGTGTGTGTGCTACTATTTAAATGTCAATGGTCTAATGTGGTAGATTAATTTTCAATTTTTTACTGATTTGGGTGTGGTTACAATGAAACAAAAATGGCGTTTGTGAAGGCTATGAAACGGGAGCACCTCTTGAGCAGTATTGCAGCAAGAAAAGACTGATCTGTTGTCCAGACACTTCTCCAGCAGCAAGAAACTTAAGAAAGTAGAGATAAAATATTTCTCGTGGTCCCTTGACTACATGCAGTGACCCACTAACTGCTAGCCTGTAATAATAGTCTCTCTCTCTTGTGATAATGCTCTACAGAATCATGCATGAGTCTTACTTGGTATAGCACCAACAACAGCAACACTAATAACATTATTCTTCTCACATAATAGCGGTCACTGATGTTTTACTGTTCATTGTATAATAGTGAGTGGGCGTATCAAAGGCACCGCCTGTGGTTGCAGATGTGATGTAACACAGCCTGTCATTTGTAACACTGCACATTTGTAACACTGTGGTTTCAACACATTGGGTATGGCTTCAAACCAAATGGATATCATTAATTGTTAAAAATTTATTATCAATAAACTTTTCATAAGTGATCTAAATCAATGTCAAATCTAAATTATATCAAAATAGTACCTATAGTGTTTCCGTAGTCCATAAAACATAACGTAGTCCACAAAGAAAGCCAAATTTCTATTTCAGTTGAAATGTACAGTTGGAGAAAGTGGACCCACGAAACATGTTATTCTTTGGATCAGACTGCTCTAGCATATTATCTGGCTCTGGCTTAACATCGCTAGACCTAGGTGAATCTGGCTTCCCATCGCTAGGCTCAGGTAAATCATCAATTGATTGTGATGGTATGCATGAGAGGACTCGAGACGCTTCAATCAACTGTTTGCTTGTTGTTTTTTCATACATCCTAAGAGCAGAAACAGATCTATGACCAGACCTCTCCTGAATTATTTTTTCTGGCACATTTTCCTGAAACAAAGATGAGACTCCAAACGATCTGAGACTGTGATTTGTTTTATTCCCTTGTAATCCAGCTTTAGAACACATGGTTTTAACCATGGTGGCCAATTTATTCTTTCCTACAGGAACGCTGGAAAACCATGGCTTTCCTTCTCCAACGACAGTTACTGGACGAACATAAAAATTGTCCTTTTCAATAGCTTCTTTTGGGACTTTGGACAAATACAGGTCAAGGATCTTCACATAACTTCTATCTCCTGCTTCAGGTACTTCAAAATGACGAACGACTTTGTTCTGTACATGCAGCTCTCCAAATCCACCTGAGCGATTCTTGCTGCCATGTTCAGTGTAGATGTAGAGGCTCTTTGAAACACCATCTACAGTCAAAACTTCTCGACGTAACTGAGAAAATTTTAATTGGCAGTGCTCATCACCTCCCCTTAGGCAAAGATTTTTACCATTGTAAATAAAAACACAATTTAATAAACCATTTGGAGTTGATAAGCATAATACTTTACTTTCCCAAAGACTATTTTCATCATCTTTTGACAGTGGCTCAATATGAGATACCTTAGCACCTATACCAACCAGACGAAGGCGTTGAAACTCATGATCACATACATTGTAAAAACTGTCTAACAGAGGATCACTAAATATATTAATAGAGGATGCTCTTCCTTTATTGAGACGGATTTGGCGCTGTAACCCAGCCAGTAGTAGGTATAGGGTCTTGGGGGTGTACTCGCTGCCATCCACTTTCCTTGTTTCTTTGACGTACATGCTTAATATATGGCTTAGCTCAGAAGGTTCATCAGTTAAGAGCAGTTCTAGCGGCTGCCTGCTTTCATACTTAGGAAGACTAGTCTTTCTTTGCACAAACCACTCCTGAAAATTATTTAGCGCCCACTTGTTATTTGACGCAGTGTGTTTAGTGCAGTAGGACTTCATAGCGTCTTCCAGCTCACTATCATCGACTGCAAAAGTAAAAC